GTCTAAAAGAAAATTTTCAGAAGTGCCTATGTGACTTTGCCTCTTAAGTCCCATTTTCAAAAGTAATGTAGGAGCCTACATCTCAATGAAAATCAGCGGGACTTAGGATCCTTGGTGACTTAGGCACTTCTGAAAGTTTACTTTAAGGTCCACTGACTTTCAGTGAGAAGTAGGCTCTTAAGTGGTGAACATTCCAGAAGGGCATCAGTGGAACAGAATAAGGGATTGGAGCAAATAAATGGACAAATAAGGAAATTCAGGCTTAACTGTTTTGCTGAAGAGCAGTCAACAAATGGAATAAAGTGCCAAATGAAGGCCATTTAAAATCAAACTCTCTCAATGAGTGAGAAGCAGCCAGGCATTTTATTAATCAGTACCTGACCTGGACAGTGCTTATCAGACTGTCATCACCTGAACTATTCAGAGGAAACCTGAAGAGCAGTTAATTATAATATACCTTATCTAGGATATGAAATGTATAAACCATTCCTCCTCCAAAGCCTAACAGAGCAGCCCATTCTCAATACAAGACTCAGCAATCCTCTGCTAGTGAAAGATTCAGACCTTGATTTTAAAAGGGCCTCAGGGGCAGAGTCCCAAATTTGTGCCTAAAGATAACTGTAGATCCAAATCTGCACCATGTAATAACTGTGTGAGCATTTCACAGCATTTCAACAGCTCACTGATTGCACCCACAATGTAGTTAGATGTTCAAGTGCTATAATGTACAACTTGCTTGCAAAATTGAGTCTGAAGTTTTTTCCAGGTGCAAAATTAGATGCTACTTGTCAAATCAGGCTCTCCCATTGACGTTGGTGGAGTTTATAGTTAGCAATTTGTCCAGTAAGAGACTATTAATTCTGTCCAGATCTTTGCTGGACTGAGTTACTAAAGATAATCTATACCCAAGATTACATTTTCTGAAATTATGATTTTTTCAGTTGTTAAATCAAATGCATTTAATTTACATAGTGTGGTGACTTACCTGCTTACTACAAAAAAATAGTATACTCCGAGCCTGGTTTACCACTACATTATTCTATGTGCTTACCAGTTTTACAGCAGCAGAATAGTGGTGAATCGGGTCTTTTGTACCTTTCACGTCTGCATATTAAGAGTGACTATCGAGCTAATATTATTCTGCATTTAAAAGCCACATTCTAAGTACAATATTTATATGAAGAGAGTTCTCAGCAACTTTATATTACAATGACAGTACATTGCTAGAATATGCAATAGTATGTAAAACAAATTTTAAAATTACTATTTTTAAAAAATGTATACATATCACATACACTTAGGCCTCAATCCAGAATCATTTTAACCCAAGGAAATTTTTGTAAGGTAAACTTAAAATACAGAATTACTTATTAATGATTCTATCTTAATTCCTAGTTTTACAAAACCATGACCAAGCAATGTATTCATGCTGAGTTAATCACCATTCTCCCCCCTTACACACACACACACACACACACACACACACACACTCCTCCCTTTATGAATTAATTTGGCCTAATATAATCTGGTCTCTGTAGATTTTAACTTCAATATTCTAAATATTACCAAAGCTTTTCCTCCTTCCTTTGGAGATTAGTGTTAATAGTTTTGGGAAAAGATTACTTTCTTATTAATTAGACAATATCATGTAGTCAACAGTACATTTCTATTCTGTACACCTATAGAAAGCCATGTTATGGCTTTCCATACAAACCATGTTGGTTAGCACACATTGTGGCTTTGGTACACAGCTGAGTTTTTCCACTAGAAAGGAAAGAATGCAGTGCTTGATACTCAAGAGTATCAATATTATTAACTTTTCAGACTACATAAGAAGAGATGTTTGGAGCAGAATGATTTACTGATAAGACTAATGGATTCCTTTTTTATTATAAACTAATATCTTTTAACATCAACAGTTTTTTATCTTAAACTAAAATAATTTCAGTGGCCTTTAAAAAAACGCAAGATTGGAAATTAGACCAGTTGATTTTTTTCCTTAAACAGTTAGATTTTGAAATTAAATAAAGGCATAATAAAAGCTCATGCCATATATGAGATTCATCACGTCTATGGGAGTTGAAAAACAGTAATTAACATATTCTTCAAGCGGAGAATAAAAATTCTTACCTTTTTTATACCATGTTCTCTGCTTACAGTCATTACATTTCAGCCTATTTTATAAAGTGTATGGCTACGAAGGTCCGGAGAGAATGAGAATAAAGTGATATTAACCTGCTGAAAACTGCTTAAAAGTCTTATCCTGCAATATAGAGAGGTTCCAACGCCATTTAAATAAAGACTTTCATACAGAGGCATCTCTAACTTCAGTTAATAATCCCGATAATTGATTCAACACCCCAAACAGTTTAACGAACAAAAAAAAACCAAAAAAGTGAACTTAGAACAGTGAATTTTTTCTGAAATTTGCCAAATTCTAGAATGTCAGTTATTTCATGAGGATTTTCGAAAAAAAAATCCATTTCAGAAGTGAAGTGACCTAATCCTTCCACCGTTTCACCATATTATTGTGAGGCATGGTTCAGACACATTAGTTCAGTTATACCTGGGAGAAAAGGTGGAATGTTTGCTGCCTTTCATGTCTTCCGGCATGTAGCAGCTCTGGGTTCAAGAATAGCCACTGTAAGCCTTGGTGGCAGTTTCTAGGTGAACTTTGATTCTAAAGACCTGAGCACAATTGTTCAGTTAAAATTCTGATTTAAGTGGTGAAAGCTAAAGCGGAGTTAACTGATTAAATTGGGAGCCCCACCAATTTTTCATGAAGTCCAAGTTTTATACATTGGTCTCTTTCTGCATGAAGAAATAACCAAGACATGTATGCACATCTATTGCTATGTATCCCAAGGAAGGGCTGTGGCTTGGAATAAGTATTGCTTTTATTAAAAAGGATTTGAGTTCAGGGAAAAAATCTTTTCAAAAAGGAAAAGCTCAGAGTTCCATATTTGAAGCTGAGACCCCCTCAAAACGAGTCACGTTTGTTCTTGCTTTTAAGACATCTATAAATAGCCATTTCGAGCCACACAACCTGATGGTTCTAGAAGTCAGAGAAGAAATCTTGAGGGCCCAAGTGAACAATAAAAGGTGCGATGCTGAGAGGCTGGCAATAGGGACTGTCAATGAAAAAACCACCTACAGTGGAGAAAAGAGCAGAGAAGCAAAAACTTCGTGTTAATTTCAAAGGGACTGGCTGAAGCTAAAGCTCCATTTAAATTTCTCTGCTCCTTCAGCTGTAAGTGGAATTTTCATTGTAAAAGGGACACAAATGGGCACTTTTAAAACTATCAAAACATCTATACTTCCAAGGTTATCACTTTTTAAACAAAGAACTGACAGCTCATTCATATTTTCAGTAAAGCAGAGAAATGTAAAATATGCAGCAACGGGGCAAGTTTACAATGTGGTTAGTAACTCCCAACAAATGACAAAAAATGAACAAATGACTTCATATAAATCATCTGAAATGACGGCCATCAAGTTGGAAAAGAGCACAGCTCCCTCTTTTTAATGAGCTGGGGAGGAATAAGTTATTGGGCAAGTAAATTTTCAATATGTAAATATTTTCAGAACAAATTGTAGTTTAAAATTTAAAGTCTCAGAAATTCATGGATTTAAAAAAAAAAACAACACCCCACTTTATCATCAGCAGTTGCCAATCAAGAGAACTCCAAAAAAGGCAGGGATCTTTTAATGAATATTGTATTACCCAAAAATGGGCTCTCATCAGCCATGCTTTTTCTGCTCCGTGATGGCTCCCTTTCATCCATAGGCCAGCAAAACATGTCAATGATTTATCAACACTTCTCAATTTGAAGGCAACGCCAACCCCACCATTTATCTCTCAGTGCTAATTCAAGGGATGATAATGTCAGACTCACTGCTACTGTCAATAAAGGCTACGTACTTTATTAAAGTACCACCACCACCAAATGAAAGCAAGAGCTACAGCAGGAAGAGAAACGTTTATGAAAGATTTAAGCACATTCCTAAGCACAAATGCTTGATTTAAGAACAGCTGCTGTAGTTAATTCCAAGGAAAGCAGCTTGTTATACACTTCACCCCCTTATCATGCTGTTCTATGATTACTCTCCCTGCTATGAGAAACATACATTGCGGTAAGCCCCATTCTTACCACGTCATTTAAAAAAACACCACCACCACCCTCCCCCAAGAATAGAGTCTGAAGGAGAGCAGAGTGTATAAAGGCATCTTCAAGACAGCACAAAATATAACAAACCTACTGAAAAGGAACTGGTGAGCTCTGAATGGGGAAGTGCAACCAACAATGCTGCTTATTTTGTGGGGGTGATACCTTAATAAAAAGTACTTTATTCCTTCATATTAGAGTCCAAAGCACAACAGCTTTATACACAAGCCTGGAAATATTCTGTTGACAGTACGGAGCATGTCCTCTGCTCTATACTTTCAGAGGGGTACATGCACTCCTTATATTATAGATGTTGCCTTACTTTGGGCACCAACTCGTATCAAAAAATGAATACTGGCCTATGGCTGAAATGTGTCACTTTTCACAGCAGCACTCAACAAGAACTGGGACCATTAAATAGCAAGTTTTCATGGGGACCTTGTTGCTGCTTTAGATTCTTATAATTGTAAGGGGAAAAGGAGAACCCTTTTTTTAATTAGAGACTGACAACTAAAATAACTGTAAAAATGCTCCATGGAAAATCAAGGGTGGACAAACAATCTTACAGAGTGAAGAAGGCCACAAGAACAAGTGCAATTTATTCTTTTTGGGGGGAAGTGAGGGGCATTGTAAAAACATCTTTGGAACACTAAAAAACAATCATAACGTTATGATTGTCCTTTCTCTGGGCAATACAGACTTAACTATGTATTCCTCCAATTATAACAAAAGTCTTTGAATGGAAATTTCCCTTGTTTAACACAGGTTTCACAAATATGACTGAATACAAAGAGACCAGCTAGTGTTAATAATGCCCTTTGTTTTCTTTTTCAGCATTTTGCATACAAATGAAGAGGCTTCTTGGAAAACGAAGACAGGGTCTACGTTACTGAGCCTTACAATATGCTAATTTCCTTGGTTTTAAAGATGCTAAGGGAATCCTTTCAAGGTACTGATGCTTAGATATATCAAAAATAATAAGCTAAGACAATACTTAAACCCATATTTTACTAGCTTTGTTCACCTTAATATTTTCAAAGTTAAAATTTAACTGAAAAGTTTCTATTGTATTACTGGTTTGTTTTTTTTAAATAACTACACTCTGAATTAAGTAGCCCTACAACAAATACAGGTCATTAACTGAGATTCTGTGTGACTGCATTAGGAAACAGGCAGTACTCTGTGTTACGACAAAACCGTTTATTTGTGATCAGTGTTTTATATTCTATACATCCTTCACAAATTTAATTTTACATAATCGGATACTTCATTTAAAACGTAAGGTTTAAGCTTCTAGTTCTTCCCTATAACAGAAGGCTGGTATAAGTTATTTGAAAATGAGGTAACATTTCACAGAACATTTTTTTTTTCTTCAAGTTTTAGAGAACTAAATTTGCATTTTGTTAAAATCAAAAAGTAGGAAAAGATGTTTCTTTACAAATGACTTTGCTCAAGTATGTGTTCAAAGAAAACAGGATAAAAAGGCTTTTTTCTCTTCTAACATTCTGTACTGTACTGTGTTGTTCAATCAATAGGAATTAGCTTCTGCCATTTGCTAAAAGAATGAGTAGTGGGGAACAGGATATGTTGGGAATTTCATAACTGGTAACAGAACCATTCTCTTGGGTATACCTACAGAGAGAAGAAACGGAGAGGACTCCAAATAAGTTCAATGATCCAATAAAGTCAAGTAAAAGCTTACAGTAATGTTCTCATTAACCCTTTCCAGATGAGTCAGTCAATGAGCTTTGAGGGCATTGAATCCCATAAGCAGAACATTTCAACATTTTGTAATGCTTTAAACTTAATATAACATATTAGATTTTATTATCATTCTGATGTTTATTAATTTAGCATTAGCAATACGTTCCAGAAGTAGTCAGTACCATGTTACACTGAACCAGACTGGATTTGGAAAGTTAATTTACGTTCTTATTAAGATAGTGTGGACAATCTATCTTGTTCAGTGTCCTGAAGTAATTTAACAGGCCAGCTACAACTGCAAAGATTTTAGACAGAAAATGCTGCTGTGCATACACAGAAGTCCTTAAAAAAAGGGCACAGCACAGTTTTGACAAACCTCCCTTTGGATCTGTCGAAACCAGGCACTGATAACTCAATCAAGTTCTATATCCATTTAGACTTTCTGCATTTATTCATATTGTACTGAAGTGGCAAATCTGGAAAGATTAATATCTGCCTAATCTCAGGATTATTATAGCGTTCTTGTGGCCTCACAAACTTCTGCATACTTAAATACTTTTTTTTTTAATGGTTCCTATTTAAATTCTAATATTTAACCTACGTATCCATTTAGAAATCACAAAGCAGCAACAGCAGGTATTCCAGAGCACCAGATGATCAAAGTGAAACTTCCCAACATGCAACAGCTTACAAAGGCAAAGAGACATATTTACCTTACAGCCAGAAAAGCATTATTTCAGTACTTTGCATCACAATAAGACATTAAAACAGAAAAACTCTTTATGCGAAAAATGGGGGCAGCAGATTTCACAAGACTTTGAAGTCAGCGATATGCCACACGTAAATATCTAAGCGATTACAATTCAGGCTCCAACACAGATGTTATGAGAAGATGGAGGGGAAGGAAAAAACAAACCAAGAGAAAGAAGGATTGTAGGTAAAACTCCCAGCCCCACTGAAGTCAATGAGAGTTTTACCACTTACTTCAGTGGGGCCAGGACTTCACCCCATATTCTTATATATAACCTATCTGCCAATAAGAGATACGGATAGTCAAGTACCAGCCATCTTAGACTATCTCAGGGTCATATTCAATACCCACTTCTTAATGTTTCATACAAGGATGAAGGCTACAAAAGGGATTGTTTAAAATAAGCCACTGATGAAACAGGTCCCAAACTAAATATGTGATCTCCTGCTGGGTGAGTGGGTAGAGGTTCCCTTTGTTATCAATAACAGTGCATTAAAGATAATCAAGAATACAGACTAAGCTTTATGGGAAATGCTAGTGTCACCTGCTGCAATGTGAAAACAGATGGCCAATTCATATCTTTCTACTAAGATAAGAAAAGCTGCTTTAAATCAGAGGAAATTCCTTATCCGAGTAAAGGCACCTCACTGGCCAGTTCCCTTGCCCTGCTCCACAGAAGAAAGCATAGAATGGTAGCAGCTAGTCCCGCGTGGTAGGTGCTCCTAGACACCAACAATACTAGAGCCGCAGCATTTTCATCATCAGGGGACAGCACAAGAGGCTATAGCTGTATTTATAGTGTGCATCATTTAGAATGGAAAAGGTTCTTTCCCAAGGTGTAGAAATCAAGTTACCCAGTTCCGTAATATTTCCCTGGTCAGATAAGGTTTCTACACTTGTAATCAGGTGGAGTTACTGTTAGCCACCAATTTTATTCAGATTCGATACGGAAGCAAGCATTAGGGTAATAACCCAGCACAGGAATGGTTGGTATAGTGAGGATTAGGTTTCCCCTTTGAAAAATAAAAAAAAAAGGCTGCTGGAGTAATCATGTGGTTTTGCCATTTGAGAGCTACAGAATCTTACCCAGTTATAGAAGACGGGTTCTGTTCACACAGAAGATCAGAACTGGTTCTGAGAGACAGCACCTTGTTTTACTCTAGTGTGTCGGAACATATCACTGACTCCAAACTGTTTTGCCCCCATTGCCACATAAACCTCATTCAAAGTAACCAAAAGGCCAGTTAGAGATAAATAGGCGTTATTAGTCTAGTATTTAAAAAAGCGGGGGGGGGGAGGGGAGAAGGGGGGCAGAAGAAAGTACTCTGGAGCTATGAAAGAGGCCCTATGTTTATTTTAGTCCATATTGAAATATATTGCACTGCCATCCTGGATTTCACTGGGCTTCTTAGCAGAAAGGGGCAGTGGCAAGTTATAGTGCCTTAGCAGCCTTGCAGTCTGATCTCTAAGTAACCTACAGAAACTCCGTTAGCCTGACCCAAACAGCAGTATTCATCCTGCAACTATATAAAACATGTTTGGACTGGTTAGGAGATGTGTGTGGCAGTGGGCATTTCAAACAACTGATTGCAATAAGAGGAAATGCCCACAAGTCTAACTTACGGACCATCATTTTACCAATGTTTAGCCAAGGGGCATTAGAGTAATATTTCAAGGATGTTAGATTTGGCCCTTAGGTATTCTTTGAATGGAGCACAAGTTGGCTGTAAAAAGTAGGAGAACTACTTAAAAATATTCAGTTTCACTATTAAAGGGAACAGGCAGTTAGAACAAGCAGTCCTTCCACAATCAGGCAAAGCATAGGCAAAAAGCTACTCCAACCAAAACAAGAACCACAAGGTTATGGCATCAATTTAAATGTCCTCATTGTCATATTTAAAGTGAGCTCTGATTTTCTTGGATCACTTGCAAACTCTAGGGCAATCTCTATTTTTGGACTGCCATGATAGTTTCAATACCATTTCTAGTTCAGTTAATTAATAGGTCATACATACCGTAGGCTGGCGCAGCTGGGCTGTACCCATAAGGTGCCCCATAGCCTACAATACAAACAGAACAAGCGTTTGGCTTTATTCCCCCCAGCATATGAAGAATCATATCAAAGGTCACAAACTTAACAACACAGGGGCCATACACAACAGAAAATCCACTCCCATTTAAGTTAAAATACTTAAGCAGCATTTGGCTGTAATCGTTCCAGATTCTGGCTGCAAAAATAAACAAGGCATCTTATGCCTTTTTTGGAAGCTTCAGCATAAAAAAGCGAAGCTCCACCTTTCTTTCTATTTTCCTTAATTTTCTCTCTTCGTTGAAACTTTCCAGTCAATACTGTCGCACTGCAAGAGTTGGCAAGGCCCCATTTACAGACTCTCTTCATAAAATACAGATATGACTTAATGCACAAAATCATCATTGTCCTCAATCCCCCACTTAGGAAAAGGGAAACCTGGAGGCCCATGGTAAAGGTCCAAATCAGCAGCAGATATTTTTGGTGATTAAGAACGCTGCCATTTGGTTTCCACAGAGTCCAAACATATTCCACAGAAGACATCTGAATGGCTGGATAGTAAGTAAGCACTGATGGCAGCTTAAAAAAAATAAACCAAACCATCATGGGGATAGGAGGCATGCAAAGTTAGAGGATACATTCAGTTGCTGAATAAAAAGGAATGGTGACAGCATTGTTCTTGGTTATTACTGCTTGCTATTTCATTAAGACTTAGTACCATTCATGCCTGGTAAAGCTTTTTTTGAGGGGGGTTAGGTTGGGGTGTGGGAGGCTGAAGAGGAAAAAGGTACGTAGGCCAAGAGAAATAAATGCTTAACAAGTATGATGGCTGGGAAATTAAACCTATTTCTGGAAGAATTCCATGCTGGCAAGGACTGTGCCTCTAGCAGGTTACAATGTCTCAGAAATGACTCCTCAGGCAGAAAAGCAGTTTCAGAAACAATGTTCAAGTCCATTAAAAATGAATTACTGGTTTTTAATATTTATGATTACATCAATATACAGGAACAATGAAGGCACCACATTGCTGACTGCGCCAGGAGGTAAATATATCCAACAACAGGGCTGCGCTATTAACATTTGGGGACTGATGAAGGGTGTAATTAGAGTTTATGCTATATCCTAAAAAACCTTGAGCACTAATGATCAGGGTTTTACTCTTTGGAAGCTAAGTGAGTGTTGGCCATGGAACTTTGGAGGCAGAGAGACCAAAGAATAAAATAAAATATATAGAAATGGAGGAGATTCTCCTCCCATCCCTAACTCCTGCACATGATCTGCTACACCAGTGTGGTTCAACATCTTCAGATTGGCAACCCCTTATTCAAACTCAAATTTTTGTGATTCCACGCCATATAAAATGAATAGACAATAATGATAAACCTATGTAATTTGTTTGTTTAGCTAGAGAAGTTCACAGAGAATACCTGATCTTGAAGGATAACAGTATGCAGGGAATGGAGGAGCGAGATTTTCTTTGCTTTAGATTGTAGTATGATTTTCAACGCCTCACGACCACCCGCTCCCCAGGTGTTGTGACTCACCAGGTGAGATACACTATTTTAGATGAAGCAAAATACAGAGGAAACCCAGAAGTTGCTATGCACTTCATTGTCTCTGTAGCTACAGTTTTGTGGCTGCTAACCTGCCAATGGGAATCAACACTAAAACAGCCTGACCAGCAATGTGAATTCTATGTGAAGGAGCCCAAGCATAAATGGGAACCAAAAAGCCTTTTAATTTAGACTTGCAGTTTTGCTGCTCAAAGCAACGCGGCCAACATTACAGAACAACATCAGCCAGAATATGAATGTGAATTTCCTTCCTTCATTTCTCCCAACATGACAGCTGTTAATAGGCACCTCTGCTCACAGCCCCAGACTGTGTGGGGTGCTCCCGAGAGCACGACTTCCAAATCTGCAAGCATGATCCCCACAGTTCACTACTCTGGAACGCATTTCAGCACAGCAGCAAGTTCCATTCCAATAGCCTTTCCCCAAGAGGACTGAAGAAGGGTCTCTCTTACTGTGAATCAGACTGCTCCTAGAGGGGATTCATCAGGCAGCAAAGCACTTCTCGCGGGAAGCAACGCGCACAAGACAGTATTTTAATTTTGCATGCACAAACAATAGCCCTCTGCCCTCATTAAGGATAATCCTGTAGCATTATCTAGAATGAGAAACTCTTGGTAAAGCCAATCATAATACTAACAGGCATCTTCCAGGAGACTTCACAACTGGGCACAGAGTTGTGGGAATCATGCCATGGTGAGAGAGTTATGAGAAAGGCAGATATCAGAA